ACAAAGGGAACGAGGCTAAACTAATTCTTATCCATAAASTGCATAATGCATTCCTTTATTCTAATTACAGCACATCACACACCACAGTGGTCTGACGAACTCAAGAAACGAGCAGAAGTCAATAAATGAAAGGACGTCGCATTAGGATAGACGCAAACCCAAGACACGCCTTATGGAGAAGTTCTACAAAGAACCACATATGTGAGTTTCTTTTACAATAAATACTAAGTATATGTATTAAAGTCGATAAAAATACATTCATTTTCGCAAGATCTGACCGATTTTCAGGGTAGGAGGAAGTCCAAGATCTCATCAGAGGATCAAAGAATACATATAGCTTGATAGTTGTTTACTGAAGGGTCTCCGAGAAGCCAGCTTTGTCAGATCAGTTCTGGATACTCCTCAACATGCGCGAGAAATTAAGGACAGCTAAGCTTACCAAGATGCTGTTCAAAGATTACTGCTTTTCAAAAGACAAAGGGCTCGTCTTCTGGAGAGTCACTTGAGAGTTTAATGAACACGTATTTCTCTGTTAGTCAGCAATCTTCGGCAATGCGTGTTCAACAAGAAAAATTTGCAAGCGCAGTAAAGCAGTCTGGGCTCATAGTAGTCGACAACAAGATAATTAAATACGCTATTAAAAGCTACTTACCATTTAAATTGGAGATTGATAGTTGGGATAACTCACATTATGCTGCAGAACATATGGTTCTAAGAATTGAAGGATCTATAAGGCCAGTATTCGTCTATCATATATACTTAGAAGGAGAAAAGGAGTCAAAGTGGTGTTTCTTTTGAAACCAGATAGTGAACCCACGATAGCGCATTTCGGCACATAAGCCCACTCCCTATAATAATGGTTCGAGTCGATGCTTATTTTACCATCTATGACGATAGAATAGATGTTCCATTTCCCGACTATTTTGTTGTCCGACTAGCAATTACCTGCTTGAAGAACAACAAGGCGGAAGGGGCTGATGGATTACTTTCCGATCTAGTCAAATACGACGGCGAAGAATTCACAAAGTCTTTAGATCAGCTTTTTTGCATGATTTGGTCGAATGACAGCCTGCCTCATGATTCGAACCTAAGTTTGCTTTGCCCAGTCCACAAACGCCAATTACCGTGGGCTAATTTTCCTTAATATTTCATACAGGGGTTGTCCGCAAAGTAACAACCGCAGGTGATGAAACGATAAGCCGTGCGAGATATACGTCGCTTGCGCTAGTTTGATCATGTTTTCAGGATGAAAGAAAAAGAAGAAAGCTTTGAAAGTTTTCGATTGAGTACTGCGGTGGGGGGATTAGGTGGAAAAAAACCTGGCGAAAAAAAAAGTGGTATATAGAATTGGCTTTGTGGTCAGTATTAAATAAACCGGGGGCATTTAAATAATGTTCGAATGATGCGCTTAATAAGCTCCTACTCCAACTGACCATAGACATTTGCATTAGGAAAGTGACTAAAAGTTTTGCTATAAAAMTTGATTATATTGATGGCTGGAACAGGAGAGTTATGGATATAGTAAAATCCAGCGACCAAAATAACTAAATTAAATTAAACCATATCCTTGCAAGTTTGAAACTCAATAATTAGAAGTGAATAGCGAGTAGCGGTGAATGGAGAAGAGGTTTAGTAGGGAGGAGAATAATACCCCAATCTATACCGACGAGCTTAAAATGGACTACGGTGTAGGGACGGGAGTATACTTTGAGGCTATTGATATCTCTATCCTYCTGTATACCAAATTCACCTARKATCTTTCAAGCRGAAGTATTAGGCATAGAGAAGTCTTGTGGAGTCCCACTGAACAACTACGGGATGAATCAGAAAGCGGTAATTTGCGCAGATAGCCAGGCGRCACTCTATCATTGTCGTCACCATAGATCAACTATAGCTTTGCAAACAAAGCGAGGAGGACTTTAAGCTCWTTGGYAAGTCAACTCGASTTGTCCATCATTTAGGTTCTCGKCCACAGGAAAATTGTCTGCAAATAAATATCAGACGAGTTGGCAAAGTCAGGAGCCTTTCTAGACGAATCTTACTCAGAGACAATAAGAACTCTCCCCTTATCTCCGTAGGCACAGTTTCCTATTTGAAAATTTCTTAAACGSAGCGGGTCATCTCGTTGTCAAAACGAAGCACTTTCGAAAACCATTTGCATAGAAAACTTGAATAAATAATATTTCTGGATTGAGTACCACCATAATGTTTATTCATGYAGCTGCATACCACAAGTTAAATACCGATCTGTGTGCTGATGCAACCACAAATACATAAATTTCAATTATCAACTTCAATGTTAATTGCATTCCTGCTACTTTTTCCCATTCGTACACGTGTACAATATGCTGTGTACTTACGTGTGGACGTAAGCATAGGACTACTTATGGCTTAAAATGCACATAYAAGCATAAACAAATGTATWTGCTTTTATTYCACTCACCTGTACTGGCTGTAGYGATGACGACCAGAAAGGCTATCAYGAGTGACACGATATTATCAGTYGTYCTTGYGCTGGCAAGTGGCAGCTGGCGAGGCGTTTTACTCCAACTTTTGGTCGCTGCATAATCAAATGAAGRTTTTCGCCGTTTACTCATTTTCCCARTCGSTCGCTTATCATCCATCGGATCGGAAGACATACATAAATAGGTGAGGCGATAAAGAAGCGATGTATTTTTYAATTGCAAATGAACAGCTTTTGGTGGATCCACGGAAGACACGATTTATTAGTTAAMCGSACGCGTAAAAGCTGAAAATAARGACGAGAAAAAGCAAAGTGAATAGTAAATATTTCAGTATAATGTCTAAAAGGYAGTGCTTYATTAAAAATGTRTGAGGAGTTGTGGWTAGCRAACKGCCAGTTTAGATTAAAYACACAAATAAAGACACACACRCATATGCAAATATATATAAAAGCGTGATTGCGACAAAAGCTAAAGGCTATGCATTAGGGTGAAAGTTTCTTCTGAAATAAAGGTACACGACATGTCTCTCCTCTAATTCACTCAGGCGACCAGTAAACTTCCTTCCTAATGTAAAATGTGTTTAATACCAGTTAYAATCCTTCATGTCTTTATTAATGCATTAAAAGTAAAATAATGTAAGGCTTATAAAATCAAAGGAGTCACATGTGTGTTATAATTACAAGCACACGTATGTGCTTTTGTCATCTGGAAGGCATGTTATCGCAGAACATAATGCGAAATATGAGAATCTCTCGAGTTTATTCCACAAATCTCAACAGGTTTAGATTATCCTACTCCATAAATAATTGAATGAATTAAATCAAATATATTGAACCTCATTAATTTATTATTATATTCAGCAGCAGAGAATCCTTTAAATATTACAAAAAACTGCAAACATTTTACACAGCGCAAAAAGGACATGTGCGTAATTCCAGATCATCATCTCAAAGACTAACGGAATGGTTTCGTCATACTGATCATTTTATATGATTTGCAGTGTTTCAAACGTAGACCCAAATTTAATGMACTCTATTCAGGGTATAAAACTAACATTAATTTTACACCCAACYTTTTGAATTATTTTCATTTAGTAATGCAAAAAGCGTCGCAATCTACCGGGTTATCCAACAGGAGTGATATTATTTTCGGTGTCATTTTGGCCACTTATAATACGAGTATGTCATGATCTGTTGTTTTTTCAGCGTATTCAGTTAAGTTCGTATTTTGTTGTTGTCTTGGGAAGATATACATAAGAACACCGTTTACAAATGATTTATTCTATCAAAATAATCGTTATCAATTGCAACTTTTTGCGCGCCTTTGCCAATTTTAGGTCGTCATCGTCGTAATAATCTCTCATCTGTAATTGCTATTCGACGAATTTTGAATATTTTGAAGTAACAATTTCTTTACATAATGTTGAAGTGCGAACAGAACAAAGAAGCGCTCGAAGTAATGAAAATATTGCTGTCGTTCAGGGAAGAGTGGAAGATGTTCTCACAAATTGGGACTGTCTCAAACCACAACCTGGGGGATTTTGAAAAAGAGTTAGTATCTCTATAAACTTGTGCTCTATCAAGAACAAGAGCAGAAACGTAGTCTCTAATGAGCCTCACTTTCATCTGAATAGAGCGGTAAGTAACCACAACTGTTGATTCTCATGCAAAGAAAACCCACAAATTATTCATAAACGAACATTATATTCACCTAAATTGAGAGTTTGGTGTAGTTTGTGGTCTGGTGGAATCATCGGTCCGTACTTCCTCCGAAATGAAGCTGGTGACACTGTTACTGTCAGTGGGGCGTGGTACTCTATCACTTCGAACTGCGGAGAAATGTTCCGATGATACAGAGCGGGTGAAAACGACACCATGGATAGGCCAGTAATCGGAAGACCTGTGACGACGAATATCAATCAACATCGCCCAGAAGATGGAAGTTAGTCACCAAACCATTTTAAACCATCTGCAGAAGGATACACAAAAAAGCTTGATGTTTGGGTGCCGCATGATTTGACGAAAAAAAAGCCTTCTACGGAATGAACTCGATCCATTTTTGAACGGGAATATGATTGGCGACGAGAAATGGATCACATACGACAATATGTCGTACGGGATTGGAAGGGAATCTGCTCCCATATGGCCAGACGCTTAAAACTACCATCTACTGCGAACAACTGGACCGCTTGAAGCAGCCGATCGACCAGAAGCGTCCAGAATTGGACAATAGGAAAGGTAAAGTGTTCCACCAGGACAACGCAAGACCACACACTTCGTTGATGACTCTTCAGAAGCTACGGGAGCKCAYATATRGYGCCCGGACATAGCGGCAATTGATCACCAACTGATCCTGTATATGGCGAACGCCCTTGTTGGTGTAAAGTTCAACTCAAAAGAGGCTTGTGAAAAGTGGCTGTCCGAGTTTTTCGCAAATAAGGAGGAAAGCTTCTACGAGGGGGGGTATTATGAAGTTGCCGTATAGAAGGAATCAGATCATCGAACGAAACGGCGCATATTTGAACTAAATTCGATCCGTTTTGACAACCTATGTAATATATCTCACATATTAACCGATTTTGGATCAAAAGTCAAATATTGGTACTGGTTTCCACATATTCGGTACAAAAGGTCCTGAACCATTTGTCACAGTTGCTTTTTACCTCTGACATCACCTGTGTTATAGTTGAGTTTTATATCTTAATATTAATAATCGGCCCATTAAGCTCAAATACAAACTCGTAGTTTTTTTTGTACTAGGGAACCCGCATACCAAATTTCATCAAGATTTTTACTGAAGTTACAGCTTGCTGGGACAGACGGACAGACAGGTATCAGGATCATTTATATATGTACAATCCTATATTTATCACGCTATTTTTAGGTAAAACGTACAACCGGTGAGCAAGATGAAAATACTCTATAGCAACTGGTTGCAAGAGTACAAAAACGAAAGAATGTGAATTTATTGTGTCAAATAAGCCATAAAAGGCGTTCCTTTTTATAATCCATTTAACCGCATGAACTATATAGTATACGAGTATAACAGTATAAGTGCTTTAGTATAATTTTACATATGATTACTTTATATAATATTTGTTAAATTTTTATAAAAAATTTTAAGATAATCAATGACAATAAAAACAATTTTTTTATTCAGTTACGTTGCATTACTCAAAACCCTGGTCCATTGATAGGTGGTGCTATGATGTGCAACGTGGGACCAGATGTGGTCAGGTCCAATAGCACCGGAAAAACTGGTTTTCGCATGAAAACTTGTGTTTTCAGCCAAGTAAAATCTGTCAAACGAAAACACAGTTTTCGCTGAAAACTACTTGAAAACTTAAATTCCACTGATTATAATCGGTGCCTGCTCTGGTTTAATCGGTGTTTTTGGAAGACATGTTTTGCCGGCCCTAAATTGTCACTTGATATTTGTTTATATTCCACATACCAATACAGCTGTCGCTTGATATTGCAGAACTTTCCCTTTGGTGCAACGGCACAACAAAAAACACACGCAGAAAATTAGTTGCAATGGCTGTAAAATATGTCAGCCCAAGACCCATGTTTATTTTCGTGCCGTCAAATATATCCCCAGRTTCTGCAATGGATGCTTTCTTGGCCTTGCATATTTCAGTAGAGGATTTTTGCATTTTGTGTCATCGTGCAATCTTGCAAGAGTAAGAGAATGCCGCTTTTGATAGTTGTCAGTGAAAATTCATCGAAACCACATATTGTCGGTCCGAACGACTTAGATTCCACAACATACAAATGTGTTTTCAAAATTTTTTCAATATCGGTCCGAACGTAGTATTATGTTAATGTAACTATATAAGTTTGGAACACTTCAGTAGTTAGTGTTGGTTACAATGTAGCGTGGTATTGTTAGAGTACATAATGTGTTTTTACTCTTTGCAGGGTTCGTCTCCGTATTTGCCTGGCAGAGAAAGTCGCTGTGTACAAAAACATCAACACAGACCATAAAACGGAACACAAAGGCACATAAAAGACATTTAACCATTCGAGGCTTGCCCGACACATTTGAATTTGCCTAACTGCCACGCTACAAAGCCTGGCACAGCAGGTTTCCTAACARCAAACCTCCGTATATGGAACTAAAGAGATATGCAACTGCGATGTAGGCAGAGGCAAGGTATGCTTTCTTTTCAGCTTTTAAGCGCTTTTTTGYATGTAAACGGCAACGGAATTAAATGTAGATACGAAGGYATTTTTCACCAAAATCACATAAAACGCACACTTTTTTACACACATGAGCTTTTTGTCCCTACACACGCAATCATATAGACATGCAAGAACATGTATTTGTGTGTATTTTGAGTTGATTACAAATCCGCCTGCAAAATGTGATTCCCCTCTTCACTTTAAGCGCAACTCATCTTCTTATTTTTCGTGAATTTTTCCTTGCGACCACAAACAAAGGACATGTTAGCCGCGCTTGTTTAACAATGTGCGTATCTATGCACATACATACTTACATCCGCAATTTTAATTTTCAGCAGCTGCGAAAACTCCTGTAATCCTCTTTCGAGCTCATTTGCATATATCACCTGTGTAATATTTCAAACAGTATGGTGTCAAAAATTCAATTACCAATATGATAGTCCCGTAGTAATGATGCATTTGCATGTGGCCAGGAAGATAAGTGAAGTATTGTTGGTTAAATTTATGTAGAAAATCCGCAGTTTGGCATAAATAATAATAAATAATGCTCTATGGGCGTGAGGCCGACCCTAATGTTACATGACTTTTTTGAGAAACATTTAATGATGGATACATAAATGGCCGAGCTTTAGTTCTAAATAGACGGCGCTATATGTATGACAACTGCCAATGAAATAATTAATTAATTAAAACAAACTTTTGTGAAACGCATGACCAAGGCGTGGACCTATGACATCATGCGATTTAACACCACTGGTACTCGTTYACGTCCGATACCATTGATGGTCTAAAATTGAGGAAATTTTTAAAGATAATTAGGGACCCTTATCGTCATACTTGCACATACCATTAAATTATATATGTTTTATTTCTACTTGGAAACTGTTTTTAAAAAACTCTTAAGCTAAACTAGAAAAATCTTAAATGTAGACCTCCTGGCTTTCTTTATAATGTATTGTATATAGCAAGCTCTACTTCGTTGTTTATTATTAAGTATATTGAGTTTATACATTTATCAGATTTTCAGTTTCTCAATATACTTGAAGGTACTGAAAAATATATACTCGTTTTTGGAATATGCCTGCGAAACAAAA